TTTCAATTTTTATATGTTATTGTTTTGGGATTGATTTGGGGATTAGGTGATGTGTGACGCATATACACCGGCTGGTGAACCAATTCCCACTAACAAAAGGCATGCGGCGGCCAAGATCTTTAACGATCCCAACGTTGTCGCAGAAGAAACATGGTAAATATTTTTAAATGAAATGTTTTCTAAAATAATTGTCGCACCAAACTATGATTTTGCATAGTTCATACTTCTTAGTATACAACAACACTACAAACATAAAAGTAATCTTGATCATAAGAATAGAACTGTCAATACATTAGTAGTCTAAATAGTTTAAGTAGTCCTGAATTTCTACACTGCAAATACCGTAAATTCAAATATGATCATTTGTGAATAATTTCTCATATAACCCTTTGTTTTTCCCTTAAATCAATGTTTTTTTTTTAGAACAAATTTGTAACGTATCGAAATTTAGGTACGGAATTGAGCAAGAGTATACTTTGCTGCAAAAGGATATTAAGTGGCCGGTAGGTTGGCCGGTCGGCGGCTTCCCGGGTCCTCAGGTAAATCTTTGTTCCGGCGAATATTTTCACATACCTTTTTGTGGTTTCATTCCAAAGATCAAAAATCAAATCTTTGTCAATAAACACTACAGGGACCGTACTACTGTGGAGTTGGAGCAGAGAAAGCCTTTGGAAGAGACATAGTAGATTCTCATTACAAAGCCTGTCTTTACGCCGGAATCAATGTCAGTGGTACTAACGGCGAAGTCATGCCCGGCCAGGTTTAAATTTTAACCCTTTTTCTTGTTACTATACAGATTCGATATCCTCTTGATCGATTGATTTGAGAACAAGATATCAAATCCGTAAAAAAACTGATCTTGTGTGGGTTTCAGTGGGAATTCCAAGTCGGTCCAACCGTCGGAATCGCTGCCGCCGATCAGGTCTGGGTCGCTCGTTACATCCTCGAGGTATATATAAACACATCAATGGCGATTACACTCTCTCTCTCTCTGTTTTTGTGACTCTGTTTCTTGTGTATGTGAAAACAGAGGATCACAGAAATAGCTGGAGTTGTTCTGTCTCTTGACCCTAAACCAATCCCGGTAAGTTTTCACAACTTAAAATCACATTCTAACCCTTATAATTACTAAATAAAATTGTAAATTAAAGAAAAATCTTTTCATTCAATTACTATGTTTTTTTTTTTGTCTACTTCAGGGAGATTGGAATGGTGCAGGAGCACACACAAATTACAGGTTCCTGAGTTGTTAAAGATTCTTCTCTAGTTCTGTGATTTTGGCTATGTCTTTTTTGTTTTTTTTGCTGAATTAGGTTTTGTTTGTTGTTCTTCTTCTGCAGTACGAAGTCGATGAGAGAAGATGGAGGGTACGAGGTGATAAAGAAAGCAATAGATAAGCTTGGCTTGCGTCACAAGGAACACATCGCTGCTTACGGTGAAGGCAATGAGCGTCGTCTCACCGGAAAACACGAGACTGCCGATATCAACACTTTCTTATGGGTAAGAAGAAGCATCTTAGTAAACCCCCATAATCGACAAAACCAATTTTCACTTTGTACATTTCCATTGATCATATATACTACTGTATCACGTAAGCCTAAACCGCGGTCTAATTAAACCGGTTTATACAGGGTGTGGCGAACCGTGGAGCATCGATTCGGGTTGGGCGTGACACTGAGAAGGATGGAAAAGGATATTTTGAAGATCGCAGGCCAGCTTCGAACATGGATCCTTACACTGTGACTTCCATGATTGCTGAATCCACAATCCTTTGGAAACCATGAAAGTAGAAGAAACCTTCAAGCTTCAAGGAATCTCTAATATCAGTTCATGTTCATTTTGAAAACAAA